GTGTTACTATGGCTACATGTATGATGCAAGCACATCAGTTAGCTGTTTAAAATTAACTGCTGTGATAATGTCACATTACAATGATTGGGCTTTAGCTGAAATGATTGTGATGCAACTTGAGACCCAAATGAATTATGATGCTACACTCTTACCTCGTCTTGTGTTTAGGAGAATAACATACAGCAGCTCTAAGGTAGAGTTGCACAGGACTCGATACATTAACACTGGTTCTCCCTCTGTTAGTGCTGCCTGAACTGCTGAGTTTCTCTAGCATTTTGTTTTTCTTAATTTCTGATTTCAACATTTGCAATATTTTGCTTTTAATTCGGTTTCTTTGAGCAGTTTGCTGACAACATGTTTTGGAGTAATTCTGAGAGTTGACACACTGTATAATAGGAACAAAAACAAAATTGCTGGAAAAGCTCAGCAGGTCTGGCAGCATCTGTGAAGGAGAAAACAGAGTTAACGTTTCGGGTCCAGTGACCCTTCCTCAGAACTGATGGTGGCTGGGAAAATGTCAGTTTATATGCAGAAAATAGGGAGGTGGGTGGGGTAGGGAGTAAACGATAGGATAGAGCCCAATGAGAGAGAAAGACAGTTGGAGAGACAAAGGAGTTGCTAACGATCAGGCTGGGAGGGTGAGTAGTTGTTAATGGGGACTGTTAGTGACTAACAACAGGGGGTGTGTAGTGGCAGACTATGTGGTAACAGGGCCTGGTGTGTGGGGTGGGGGGCTGGGACATGGGAGAGTTTAGGCCCTAAAATTATTGAACTCAATATTGAGTCCGGAGGGCTGTAGGGTCTCCAAGCAGAAAATGAGGCTTGCGTTGTTCCTCCAGCTTGCGTTGGGCTTCACTGGAACACTGTAGCAAGTCAGAGACAGAGATGTTGGCCAGGGAGCAAGGTGGTGCATTGAAGTGGCAGGCAACAGGTAGTTCAGGGTCTTTTTTGCGAGCAGAACATAGATGTTCCGTGAAGCGGTCACCAAGTCTACGCTTTGTTTCCCCAGTGTAGAGGAGACCACATTGTGAGCAGCGAATGCAGTAGACTAGATTCTGGGAAGTGCAGGTGAAGTGTTGCTTCACCTGAAAGGTATGTTTGGGCCCTTGGATACTGGGGAGGGAGGAGGTAAATGTGCAGGTGTTGCATCTTCGCCGGTTACAGGGCAAGGTGGCGTAGGGCTGAGGGTAGGTGTTGGGGGTGAAGGAAGTGTGGACCAGGGTGTCCTGGAGAGAACGGTCCCTGCGGAAGGCGGACAAGGGAGGGGAGGGGAATATGTGTCTCATAGTGGCATCTTGCTGGAGGTGGCGGAAATGGCGTCTGATGATCTTCTGGATGTGGATGCTGGTGGGATGGTAGGTGAGGATAAGGGGAACCATATCGCTGTTGCGGGAGGGAAGAGAAGGGGTGAGGACAGAAGTGCGGGAGATGGGTTGGACCTGATTGAGGGCCCTGTCGACAACGGAGCTGGGGAATCCTCGGTTGAGGAAGGAGGTAGACATTTTGGAGGCTTTCTTGTCGAAGTTGGCCTCATCTGAACATATGCGACAGAGACGCAGGAACTGAGAGAATGGGATGGAGTCTTTACAGGAAGCGGGGTGTGAGGATGTATAGTCCAGGTAGCTGTGGGAGTCAATGGGTTTGTAGTGGATATTAGTGGCCAGTCTATCCCCAGAAATGGAAACAGAAAGGTCGAGGAAGGGAAGGGAGGAGTCAGAGATAGACCAGGTGAAAGTGAGGGCAGGATGGAAATTGGAGGCGAAATTGATGAAGTTTTCCAATTCCAGATGAGAGAGAGAAGCAGCACCAATGATATCATTGATGTATCAGAGAAAGATACATTTACCTCCTCCCTCCCCAGTATCCAAGGGCCCAAACACACCTTTCAGGTGAAGCAACACTTCACCTGCACTTCCCAGAATCTAGTCTACTGCATTCGCTGCTCACAATGTGGTCTCCTCTACATTGGGGAAACAAAGCATAGACTTCGCAGAACATCTACGTTCTGCTCGCAAAAAAGACCCTGAACTACCTGTTGCCTGCCACTTCAATGCACCACCTTGCTCCCTGGCCAACATCTCTGTCTCTGACTTGCTACAGTGTTCCAGTGAAGCCCAACGCAAGCTGGAGGAACAATGCAAGCCTCATTTTCTGCTTGGAGACCCTACAGCCCTCCGGACTCAATATTGAGTTCAATAATTTTAGGGCCTAAACTCTCCCATGTCCCAGCCCCCCACCCCACACACCAGGCCCTGTTACCACATAGTCTGCCACTACACACCCCCTGTTGTTAGTCACTAACAGTCCCCATTAACAACTACTCACCCTCCCAGCCTGATCGTTAGCAACTCCTTTGTCTCTCCAACTGTCTTTCTCTCTCATTGGGCTCTATCCTATCGTTTACTCCCTACCCCACCCACCTCCCTATTTTCTGCATATAAACTGACATTTTCCCAGCCACCATCAGTTCTGAGGAGGGGTCACTGGACCGGAAACATTAACTCTGATTTTTTCTTCACAGATGCTGCCTTACTTGCTGAGCTTTTCCAGCAACTTCTGTTTTTGTCCCTGATTTACAGCATCTGCAGTTCTTTCGGTTTTTATTTAGTATCACACTGTATAATAGCTGGATACAAGGCCTTATAAGGAAATGTCGAGTAAGTTACGGTGGCACAGTTGTTAGCACTGCTGCCTCACAGCACCAGGGACCCGGGTTTGATTCCGGCCTTGGGTGACTGTGTGGAGTTTGCACGTTCTCCCTGTGTCTGTGTGGGTTTCCTCCCATGGTCCAAAGATGCGCAGGCTAGGTGGATTGGCCATGCCAAATTGCCCGTAGTGTTCAGGGATGTGTAGATTAGGTGGGTTATAGGGGGATGGGTCTGCTCCAAGGTTCGGTGTGGACTTGTTGGGCTGAAGGGCCTGTTTCCACACTGTAGGGATTCTATGAAGTTGGGCCAGTACTCTTTGGAGTTTAGGAAAAATGAGAGGCAACCTTATTGAAACATACAAGATTCTTAGGGGAGTTGACAGGGAAGATGCAAAAAGCATCTTGTGACAAGAGTCTAGGACTAGAAGGCATAATGTCAAAATAAAGTGTCACATATTTAAGAGAGTAATAAGGAGGAATTTCTTCTCTTATAGGGTAGCAAATCTATGGAATTCTTTACCGCAGAGGACTGACAAGGCTGAGTTGCTAAATATGTTCATTGCTGAGATTAAGGGTATCAAAGGTTTTGGGGAAAAGGCAGGAAAGTGGATTTGAGAGTTATCAGATCAGCCATGATCTCATTGAATGTCCCTTTGTTATATTTTTTATTGGCTGTCCTTGGCCCTCCCAACAAATTGTATAATTTCACATATGTCCACCCATTCAACCAGTCTATGCCCTCCTCTTGAAGTCTCCCATTGTCCTCCTGACATATCACTGTACTCACCCATGTTATGTCATCTGCGAACTTTAAAATTGCATCTTGAACATACAGGTCCAAGCCATTAATAAATATCAAGGGCCAAATACCAACCCCTGGGTAGCCTCATTGCATTCCCTCCTCCAGTCTGCAAAACATCTTTTTACCACTACTATGTTTCCTATCACTGTCAACTTTGTATTCATGCTGTTACTTCCCCTTTTATTCCATGGGTTTCATGTTTGCTGACAAATCTACTGTGTGCCATTTCATGAACTACCTCCTGGAAATCCATACACTCATTATTTTCATTTCCCCTCTTTGTTATCTTCATCACTCAAATTGGTAATCTCAATTTGTCTTTAGTTTATCCATATTAGCATCCCTTAATTAATTTACATTTGTCTATGTCTCTAATTTTGTCCCAGATTAACTCATGGTTAAAATAACTAGCCTGTAAGTATTAGACTTATTCTTGTATTCTTTTATGAACAAAGTGTAAACATTTTCAATTCTCCAGTCCTGTGGCACCACCTTTAAGAACCAAAAGTTTCTAGTCAGTACCTCAGTGATTTCCACTCTTACTCCCATCAGCATCCTTAGATGCATCTTCTCCTGCCTTGGCAATTCATCAGTTTTGAAAACAGCCTTTCAAATACCTTATCCTTATCATGTACATATCAGAAAGGGTTGAGGATTTCTGTTCAATTTCCCAGCCCTGTCATTTCTATCTGTTTCCATTCTTTAATCCTATTTCTGACCTACTCTTGCACTCAAGCCATTGCTTCTTTGAGGTGCCTGAATCCTTTTTAATCACCATTAATTCTTGTCTTATGTTGCTTTTTAAAGCTTCCCTGCATTCATCCATTTTGCTCTGCGCCTTTAATATCTTTCCATGAGCTCAATCTATTTGTCTTCTTCTTTTCTCAGTCTATTTCTCTCCCTGTCTCACATCTGGTTGTTTCATATTTGTGTCATCTTGATTCTTTCAATTTAAATGTTTCCTTTTTTCTGTCAATTTTCATTATGTGGAGGTGCCAGTGTTGGACGGGGGTGATCAAAGTCAGAAATCACACAACACCAGGTTATAGTCCAACGGGTTTATTTGAAAGCGCAAGCTTTCGGAGCCTGGGTCCTTCAGGTGTTAGTGAGAGAGGTAGTATCAGACACAGAATTTATAAGTAAAAGATCAAAGGTTCACACCATTGATGAGGATGTACTAAACAACCAAAGATGCTGTTAAATCTTTAATCAGGTAGGTTTTAATTGATTAATATGTATATGTAAATTTGGGGTTTACATATACATATTAATCAATTAAAACATTCTAACTGATTAAAGATTTAACACCATCTTTGGTTGTTTAGTACATCCTCATCAATGGTGTGAACCTTAGATCTTTTACTTATAAATTCTGTGTCTGATACCACCTCTTTCACTAACACCTGAAGGACCCAGGCTCCGAAAGCTTGCGTTTTCAAATAAACCTGTTGGACTATAAACTGGTGTTGTGTGATTGTTGACAATTTTTATTACAACAACAACAGACTTATTTAAGATTATTAGGATCAGGAAATAGAAATGTAAACTCTCAGCTGTGTGAATATTTATTTTGCTTCAATAAGATCATGAAATAGGAACAGGAGAAGGCTGTTCATCCCCTTGAGCCTGCTCCACTATTCAATAGATCATGGCTGATCCAACATTTCTCACATCCACCTTTGTGACTTTTCCCACAACCCTTGTTTCCCAAACGATCTAGAATCAAAAGTTCTAAGAAATGGTCACTCGACCCAAAATGTTAACTCTGATTTCTCTCCACAGATGCTGCCAGACCTGCTAAGCTTTTCCAACAATTTCTGTATCTGTTTCTGATTTACAGCATCCGCAGTTCTTTTGGTTTTTATTTTGATCAAGAACCTATCTCACCCTTAAATATGTAAGACTCTGCCCCCAGAGCTCTCTGTGGCAAGGAGTTCCAAAGACTCAACCCATAGAGAATCAATTCCTTCTGATGTCAGTCTTAAATTCGTGTCCCTTTATTCTGAAACTATGCCCTTTGGTTCTAGACTGTCTCATTAAGTACCACTATCAAACACCTCAACATTGGTATTCTTTCAGCTACATACAGAATAGTGTTCTCAATGCTCTTTAATCTAATACTCCCTTGACTTAAATATAGTGCACAAGCCCAAACACTACCTGACACTGCATTAATAACAGCAGTTATCAAGGAACCAGTCACTGACTGCTCAGCGATTCAACAAAGGTACAAGACATTTCAGATTTCTGTAATCCTGCTTAGTTCTGTTAAAGATAGTGGCCTGCCTTACAGCAGCCATAGCATGTTTTGAGAGGACTGAGGCCCAGCCAGCTACTGTTTCCTGTGTCTCTGAGAATTCCAATCCTCCCTTTTTCTTCCTGTCCACTATAACCTCTGTACAGATTTTCTTAAAAATGATCACTTGGAAACTATAAAGGGCCTTTTGATATGACCAGACAAGTAGTGGTGTTTGGTTCCTTTCTCTTTAACACTTTCTCGGCCAATCGCAACAAACATGTATTCTTTTTAGCACATATTTATCACACCTGAAGTAAAACATACAACTACTGAGAAAATTAGGGAGTCAGTTACAAAATTTTCTTGAAGGAAATGTTATTGCCTACTAAGAAAAATAATAAAATGCAAAATCAAACACATATACACAAGTTTAAAATGTAAAGGGTATCTGGTAAAGACAAGAATAAAAAAAGCTAGTTTAAATTCTTAAGAATCCTGGAGGTGTTGACCTGACACCACCATTGTTTACCTGGCAAATGATATCCTGAGGTAGTGAAATTTGAAACTATCTTAAAGTTCTCAACAAATGGTTGTTTCTCTAGCTTACTGTCTCACCTAATATTATTTTCATGATGAGGAAGAGGGAATCAGACTTCCTGTTTTTGCTGCTGACAATCAATTATTCTTTCTGTCTGCTGCTATGCTAATCTGTATTCCCAATTCTGCCTACTTTGTTTTTCTAAGCTGGACATCTGCAGATAATCCTTTCAATTCCAATTTATGTGCGGTGTAAACTAAAAAAAAATGCCAGTTTGTTGAAGCCTGATTCTATCAATTGATTTGATGTCTCTAAATTAAAAGGTAATTTCAGTTCAAGCGCTTTTGTTTAGTTCATGTGGTTTTCTGAACTTGCCTCAATCTGTGGGCAGATGATTAGTGTAGCTAACTTAGGTTAGTGGTTGTCTTTTTAAGCCAATTTTAGTCTATGAAAATCTCAGGTATTAAAAGCAAATGAAACAAGTGGACACTTCGTAGTCCATATTTACATTCACGTGACACTGTGCATATATTGATAAAAGCATCCTCTAGTACAGATTGCTGATTATACATATACTTCTTCACGGGCAAACTGAATGTGTTTGTCAAGTTTTAGTTCAGACATGTTACGTTGGCGATGATATAGACCCAATGGCTTACAGTACATCTTCATTTGAGAGCAAACTCTCTGACAGCAATGCATCTGCACAAAAAGAATATGGCAATACATAAATAAGCCTATGTTTGTAATGATGTCTTCCAAAGTTAGCTTCCTGCAGAAGGGGTATTTTCATGCAGGTTTTGTAAGGCTAAATCAGTCCATTTCATATCTTGTTCGTTAATAGATTCAGTTGTTCCTCCATTATCCTGTTCAGGTTCTGGAAGTTCACTCTACAAAAGATAAAGAAAGAACATAATTATTAAGATCACTATCTTTGTTCACGAAACTAACTTCTGGGTTCCAGTGATTGTCCTATGGGGAAAGATTAAATAGACTGGGCCTATGATCTGAGATAACAAGGTGTAGAGCTGGATGAACACAGCAGGCCAAGCAGCATCAGAGGAGCACGAAGGCTGACGTTTTGGGCCTAGACCCTTCTTCAGAAAAAAAATTTTCTGAAGAAGGGTCTGGGCCCGAAATGTCAGCCTTCCTGTTCATCTGATGCTGCTTGGCCTGTTGTGTTCATCCAGCTCTACACCTTGTTATCTCAGATTCTCCAGCATCTGCAGTTCCTACTATCTCTGGGCCTATGATCTTTCAAGTTTTGAAGAATGAGGGATGATCTCATTCAAATGTACCAAGTTTTTACAATGATCAATAGGGCATGTGCTGGAGGGATGTTTCCCCTGGCTGTGGTGCCTACAGGCAGGTACGCAATCTGAAATTAAGAGGCAGCCCATTTAAGGACTGAGAAGAGGAGCATGTTCTTCACTGAGAAAATGGTGAATCTTTGAAATTCTATGCCCCAGAGGGCCAGCCACTGAGTATTTTCAAAATTGAGACAGATAGATTTCTATATGTTTAAAACAAAAGAGATATAGGGGTAGTCCAGAAAAAAATGGTTTGAAATAGAACATCAGCCATGATCTCACTGAATGGTGGAGCTGGAATGTAGAGCTAAATGGCCTACTCTTGCTCCTATTTCTATTACGTCCCAATAGATTTTCCATGGCAATGGGCCACTTCATGTTTTAATTACCCAAGTGATGCTAACAAGTAGAGCTTACTTATTTCTACTTCTAATGGTGTAGTATGTGACATTTCAACAACCAACTTCTTCTGAACAGCATTTACTTGCAGTTTAAAAAAGGACAATAACACCATTAAAAATTCCAGCACCCCTAGATGTTTAGGGCATGTGGAGCAGCTTAATGACTCACACAAATTTCCCCAATGACCTTTACTTGAATAAATGTGACACACATTTTAAAAAACGAGATAGCAACACCAAGTAATAAGCAACAATTTAAGACTATAGGCCTTCAGACATAGCAGCCCATTGTGTCTGCTCCACCATTCAACGAGATCATGGTTGATCTTATAACCCTCAAACTCCACTTTCCTGCCTTTTCCTCATCATCCTTTATAATTTATACACCAGCTTCCCTTCCTGCTTCTTGGTTTTATATGTTCAATATAGTGGTTGGCTTTTCTGAGACAATTACAACCCTAAACAAATTTGGAATCAATACAAAAAACAACTAGAAAAGTCTGCTTTATTTGCCAAAATAGGAGGCAGTCATTGTCTTGTTTTCATTTTGCCACATATATGTGGGGACTGCTCTCACATTTTAACTGTTTTTCATTCCAATCACATTTTAACTGTTTTTCATTCCAAAAGTAATCATGATGAACCTTCATACAATTAATATTATTTTAAGACACTACACAAATAGGAATTCTGTACGTACTAGTGGTATTTCCACATCTTCATATGGCAGTTTGTCCTCACGCCATGCATCATCAATAAGGTCCAGAATTCTGCCATCTCTTTGTACTTCACTGTCCATCTGTCCTTGGTTGACACTGTGCGCAAACACAACGCAGAAAATACGGGATTTAGTAAACATACAGCATATGTATCTGCATTTATTACACTTTCACCTTGACTCATTTTGAAACTTCTAGCTCCTTAGTTTTTTATTCAAAGGAAATAAGTCTGTCCCACCCAATACTCTTATCAGCCCTGGTTCAGTTAGTTTCACTTTCACCTCCAAATTAAAAGATTGTGTGTTAACGTTCCACTCAAGGTCTTGAGCACAAAACCTTTCACGACATTGCAGTCAGTTGCACTGTGAGAAGTGCTGTCATTGGATTAGATATTAAACTGATGCTGCATTTGTTTTTTCAGATGGGTGTAAAGGATCCCCCGACCCTATCTGCAAGTGCAGCAGGGGAGTGATCTGGGGAGGTCGTTCAATATCTAATTTTCAAACTCATCACAAAAAAAATTATCTAGACATAACCGTGATGCTACTTGTGGGAGCTTGCTCTGTACAAACAGGGAGGTGGTGGCCTAGAAGTGTTGTCACTGAAATAGCAATTCAGAACCCCAAACGAGTATCACAGGACAATATTCTGGGGACGTACGTGTTATTGTCACTATGGCTGTGAAATTTGAATTCGATAAAAATCTGGAATAGAGAGCTACCATAACAGTAAATGGATAATCACCACTGAATAACTCACCTGGTTCACTGCTGTCCTTTAGGGAAGGAAATCTATATCCTTACCTGATCTGGCCTAGATATGACTCCAGATGAACAGCAATGTGGTTGATTCTTAACTGCTTTCTAAGTAGTTAGGAATGGGCAATAAATACAGGCCTAAGCAAAACCCACATCCTGCAAAAGAATAAAAATAATTACACCAATATGCAGCAAAACTTCTGGCTATGAAACACGTTGTAAAATCATGAGATTGTGAAGACTACTAAATAAATGAAAGAATTTTGCTTGGATCGAATGACATATAAAACTCGTTGTTGTAATTTACCTTTCTCAGTATGTACATCACAATGTTTCTTTATCAGTTTGCTCAATGGGATGGTTAGGATGTGTTGACAGCTAATTCAATTAACAATATGTGGCAGATAAATTTACCAGACAAAACCTAAACCATTCAGCCCATTGAGTCTATACTATTTTATTAGCACCTCTCCGTTTATGGAGAGAAAAACAGAGTTTACGCTTTGAGACCCACGTTCCCTTCAGAACAAGATTAACTATGTTTTCCTCTCTCCAGATGCTCCCAGACCCAAGTTTCTTCAGCACTTTGTTTTATCCCTTGATTTTTCTAAGTGTTTCCTAAGAATGTTTCCTTCAATTGATTTTCCATCTATAGCCTTTGCAACATATTCACAGTGGCAGTTAAGCTGGACTCAAAGGTTATGTTCCTTTGTTCCAATTTTCCCCAAGGAGTTTCTCCATTTAACACTGAACATCTTGCGAGTAAAAACTTTCAATTTCATTTTCAGATAACATAATTATACCAAATCTCCTCATAGCTCAATTCCTTGATCGCGGATGAATTTTTACTGTATCCTTTCATCAAATTTGGACATCACCAGCAAAGCTAGTATTTGTTGATCTTCCCTAAAAAGACCTTTTTCAAAAGACTAGCACAATCTTCTCAACAGATTCAGCATGAACTGTACTAATTCAACTTCTTCAGTTTCCATTAGGCTTTATTATCCTACATGCCAAGCATTTAATCAAATACCTCAGGTCCCTTGGGTTAATAAAAATCTGGTCACTCGCACATGTACTGTTTGTGGGTGCTTCCTGTGTATACAGTACATCAATGGCAACTTCAGAATTACTTCATTGGCTATGAATCTTTATGGACATTAAATATGTTACAGAAATGTAAGTCTATATGTCTTTGCTCTGATCTCCTGACTCCACTTGAAACTTCAAATGTGCGACCTCACACATCCATTGGGTTAGAACAATTAAATGAACCCAGCTGTGTGCCGTTCTGAAGACGGGTCATGGGGATTGAAACATTAACTCTGTTTCTCTCTTCACAGATGCTGCCAGACCTGCTGAGTTTCTCCAGCAATTTTTATTCTTATGTGAATGATTGTTCGATTTGTGAACAATTTTGTCACTGTTTATCAGATCTAAGTGAAGGCCTAATGCTGCAGCGGGGCGAACAATCAGCTGCTCTTCGACATGGAACTGTTTCCGCAAACCTCCCGCCTACACTGCTCACCTCATGCAGGTCCCACCGATATACCGTCCGGACTCTCCCTCAATCCCTGTCCCCCTGATAAACCGTCCCGACTCTCCCTCACCCCCCAACAACCCTGATAAACGGTCCGGGCTCTCTCGCTCCCTCCCGGTTCCTTAGATGAACGGTCCGGGTCCTCTCGATAAACGGTCCGGACTCTTCCACTCACCCCGGTCCCCCCGATAAACGGTCCGGACTTCCCCGCCCTCCCGGTCCCTTCGATAAACCGTCTGGATTTCCCCTCCCTCCCGGTGCCCCCGATGAACGGTCCGGGCTCTCCCTCCCGGTCCCCCCGATGAACGGTCCGGACTTGACTTCCCTTCCCTCCCGGTCCCCCCGATGAACGGTCCGGACTTCCCTTCCCTCCCGGTCCCCCCGATGAACGGTCCGGCTACAATCAGTAAATAATTAGAGTGAGGTGTTTGATTTCCGACGGAAGCTCACAGACTTTCAGGCGATAACAAAGTGTGGAGGTGGAGGAGCAGGAAAGTTGACATTTTGGGTCGGGACCCTTCTTCAGAAAAAGGCTCCAGGCGGTGATTTTGCTTCACTCTGCGCTGCGGGGTTGTTGCGGCCGTTTCCGAGTGACCAGCACTTTACTTTTGGTTTTATTTTATGCCTGTTCAGTTCTCCCGCCTGTTTTGATGATTTTCCCCTCTCTCACTCACAAACCTCATGCTCGCCTCCTCAGACGTGAGTTGTTTTAGTCGGGGATAGGAGGAACTGCAGATGCTGGAGAATCTGAGATAACAAGGTGTAGAGCTGGATGAACATAGTAGGCCGAGCAGGAAGGCTTCGTTTTCTTTTTCGTGCCGATAAATAACCGAAAGGCCTGAGCCATCCCCTTTAAGTCGGGTGGGACCTTTCCCTTTAAGCGGTTGCCTAGTGACGGAGGCGGGAGTCCTAGGGTCGGTGAGTGGGTGGGAGCGGGGCAGGGGCTGGTAACCTCACAAACTTTTAACAGTACATTTAAAGTGAAATGTACATGTAAAATGAACATTTGAAATGTAACATTGAAGAGTATAGAGCTGGGAAGTGTGGCTGGAGTAGATTTAGTGTAGTTCTGGTCGTTCAGACTTGGATGGCTGAATGACCTTTTCTGTTTTTTATGTTTCTGTGCCAGTATTTGTTGATCACTACCTTTTTTTTTAAACTTGAATGGTATTTCAGAGGGCAGTTACGAGTCGACCAGATTTTTGAGGGTGAGGCCGGCATATATCCTTTCATTAGAAACTTTGGTAGGCGGATTTTTAATCAGTAAGGGAATCGAGGAAAATGGAGTTGAGGAACATCAGACAAGCTGCGATCCCATTGAGTGGTGGAGCAGACTTGATGGGCCGAATGGCCTACTTCTGCTCCAAAGTATTATGGTCTTATTGTCTTAAGTTCACCACTGGTTCACCAGTGGTAATTCCTGACACTAACTTTCAGTTGCAGATTGTAAATCTCTACTAGTTGAATTTGAACTTAAATTCCAGTTCTTTTGGCATTAACATTTTTGGTTTTTTAAAGTATAATCTTAACAAATAAAGATTGGCTGAGCGTTTTCGTCAAGGCGACTTGGAAAGACTTAGAATTCAAGTAACAAAGGACAGATTTCCACTTAACAGCACCTTTTACAAACTGAGAATGGCACAAAGTGCTGAATAAAGGATATGAACAGCATGACTTTGTATATTCCCAATGGGAGTCGACTGAATTAGTTTACATTTGCTAACTTTGAATAGAAAACTGAAGCAGAGAAATGTCATGTTTTGAAATGAAATTGATCTCTTGTCTGATGTAATACCAGTCGATCAAATGTCAGAAGAATTCAAATGATTACATTTTCTTTACTACAGTAATCCCACAGTTGTCTTTTGCTTTGTGTTTGGCACGCTGGAATCTTGTGATTGGTGTTGACATCAACTTATCCAAGGAGATTTACCAGGATGTTGCTGGGAATAGAGGGTTTGAGATCTAAAAATAGATTGGCAAGACTGGGACTTTTTTCACTGGTGAGTAGGAGGTTGAGGGGTGACCTCATTGAGATTTATGGAATAATGAGTGTCATAGATAAGGTGGGTGACAAGGGTCTTTTCCCGAGGGTGGGGGAGTTCAAAACTAGGGGACATATTTTTAAGGTGAGATTAAAAAATTAAAAAGGATATGAAGGGCAGCTCTTTTACACAGAGTGGTTTGTGTGTGGCCTGAACTGCCAGAGAGAGTGGTGGAAGCAGGTACAGTTACAATGTTTAAAAGTTGGATAAGTTCGTGAATAGGATAATTTGGAGGGATGTTGGCCAATCGCACAGGCGAGTGGAACTAGTTTAGTTTGGGAATATGATTGGTATGGACTGGTTGGACCAAAGAATCTGTTTCCATGCTGTATGATGCTATAACTATGTTTTGGGAATATACAAAGTTATTGCACCATGTTTATATTCTCTGTTCAACACTTGATAATTCTTGCTGAAATTTTCTGCTTATTTGGACCTGAAACAACTATCGCATACTTAACTCAAATTGCTGATTGGAAAAAGTAAGAGCAGTGTTTGACAATAAACTCATTCAGAACTACATTTCCAAATCCAAGTTTCTGTGGAACTGGAATGATAAGCTGTGAAGTAGTATTTTTACAGAATACAACCATATGTGGAACAACTCAAATTATTTTACTGCTGGCCAGCTGCAAATCCCCTGTCAGAGGAGCCAGTCTTAGTGGAAGCATCAGGTGTCAAGGTGCACAGTGAATTTGCATTATCTGCCTTTCAAAAAAACATTGGGAAGTTGTCCAATTCTCAGAATATAGTGGATTTTTTGGCTTTCTTGGTAACATTACTGTCTGAAAAAATCATTGTGTTGAACAGCAGATTGACCTATCATTGTGCCTTCTTTGACATAAATTCTCCTGATTTGCCTTCCTCCACCACAAAAGAAAAGAGCTTCTGAATATTGTCAAGCTTTTATGAAAATGTTTTGCAGTTGAGTGATTCCAATTTTCAACCAGATTTCAGGGTACCTTTTCACAAACTTGCTGTAAGAGTGTGCTTGTGATTCTGCTGAAAATAACTTTAGATGATAGCAGGCACTGTCTGGGGCTGAGGATTTCATTTATTTTTCTATCATCAGTCAAGAATGCCTTTGTACTTTGGCTAAGAGCTTGGTTGAATACATTTATTGTTAAAATGTTGGGCTGCAGTGATCTTGTGAAGAAGTTTACAGCAACAGGGCTATGGAGGTGTTGGCATAATCACGCACTCGACTTCCTACGTCTGATCTAGATTCCCCAGCTTGTTCTCTAGACCCATTGATTCCCAAAATCAGCTTTATCATGTATGGATCTTGATCCCACAATCTTTAGCTCCCTAAATTTTTGTCTTGACCATCAGACAACTAATATTAACGTATTCGTTTTAGTTGATTCATTAATTTTAAAACAAAGTGATAGCAATTAAGTTTGAACAATTAGTCTGATCAATAAAATATATGTGTCTTCATTATTATGAGTTATTAGTCTTCATTATTAGTCAGTTGTTTTCCATCTTGGAATCTTGGTTTTATTGCACTAGTTGATTGGGCCTGCGTGTTTTGTAGTACATGAACTTTTGTGAAGTTTTCAATGAATTTGAAACATATGTTTCCTGGATTCAGATTAATACCTGATAGACTTCCTAGGAAAACAACAAATTTTGATAGCTTTTGTTAAAGTGGTTTATTCCTGTTTAGGGAAAAATGTTCGAATCTCTGTAGTAGAAAATCAGTGACATGTTTGTCATATATGCCCCCACAGATAAGTGATGATGTGTTTTAACGTGATTTCTGAACAAAAAACTTCAAGAACTCCTTCAAAATGTGTTCTATAATTGATGGTGAACATTGACTAATGGGATTGAAATCAGTATTGTGGTTTATTAGTAAATTTTTATTACAATTTCGATATAACCATGTTATCTAATGTTTTAACCATTTTGCGCAATGCTGATGTTTGGGGAACAGTTTTTCTTGTTCTGGAATCTCAATGCTATTTTGGCAGCCAAGCTCGCTTCTTTACGAATGCAGTGTTTCACTGGCAATATTATATATTTTTCTCATTATAGGATACAAAAAGGTTGAAAAATCAAAGATGTCTCCAAAAAACAAAAAACGTGGTGGAAATGGAAAATCAAGTAATACTTTTTCCTATGTTTTGCTAGTGATTCTATGTTCAGTGATGATGGTAACTGAATGTAATGGCTTTGTAACGGAGGAGCATCAAGGAATGATCTGTTGTGACCTGTGGTGGTTATAACAGAGCCATTCTAAGAGTTTCCCTTTTTGCTAAATTATAGGGAATTATATAGGGAATGTTTATGTTTTTGAGCTTGTTATAATTTTCTGCCAGTTCCTTCCATGTTGCTGTTTTCTTGAATCCACTGGTCCCTTGGTTCAGTATAGCTCCAGGATTTAGAGCATCTCTGTCCCTCGTAAAGATGATAATTATTCATGCATCACCTGATAATGGAAGTCAGCAGGATATTTATAGAGAGGGTGGCTTCACACCTGAGACCACTCTTCTGTCTGATACTTGCACAGATGTTTGGGTGCAGTGTGGTATTGGTAGGATAAGCAACAATGTGTGTGTTCTGAAGCCACATGTTCCATTCCGCTCGAAAACCTAAATAATCTTGGCCTTTACTGTCAACTATTACTGGCTAAATTCAATGAATTATCAGGTTATGAATGTGGATGCTTTTCTTGGAAAGCTTTGAGGTATGATTTATGAATAGATCTTGGTGTATTTGCAGAGTGGTGCAATGTGGTTGAATGTGAGTTCATGGTTGTAGTTTTTAATATAGCAAGTTCACAATCACGAGGGTACATGTGCTAATGATGACCAGGCACATTAATTTTGGATTGGGGAAATAATCAGATTTTTTATCAACCAGAATGAAAAAGCAGCAGTTTAAATCTCAATATTTTACCTGTAATTTTGAAGTAATCTGATATCACATCAAGTTCCCTTCAACTGCCACCCACATGCTCTTTGACCTTCATTGCAGCAATGCTCAACCAGCAGCTAATGGAAAAATTCTTGTCCTTTTGTTTTCAAATATCTGTAAGGTCTTGACCCTTTCTGTCTCTGTAACTTCCTCAGCTCCAATTATTCTGTGATCTTTGTGCTGCTATAATTGTGGTCTATTGTGCATTCTTAATTTTAGTTAGTTCACAGTTGGTGGCTGTGCCTTTGGCTATCTAGGCCCTCACATCTGGAATTCCTTTAAATCTCCAGCTCTCAAAGGGAAGAAAGGCTTGAAATCTTTAACGAAGTATTTGGCCATCTGCCCTATGTCCTCCTTGGAGAAAAAGGAAACTGATGGGAGTTTTGATGGGGGTGTACAAAATAATGACAGATTTGGATTAGGTAGTCAAGGAAAATGTATTCCCATTAGCTGATTATACAAGAACTATGGAATGCAGATTTAAGATTTTGGCAAGAGTGTACAGAATCCTAGAATTGTTACAGTGCAGAAGGAAGCCATTTGGCCCATATTGTCTGCACTAGCTCTTTGAATGAGCAGTTCACAGTGTTGTTCTTCTGATCTTTCTCGGTAAGCTGCATTTTTTTTTCAAGTAATCGTCTAATTTCCAAGTGAATTTGGCTGTATTATGCTCTTAAGCAGTGCATTCCAGATCTTAACCACTTCATATGTGAAAAAGGTTTTCTTTCTATCACTTTTGCTTCTTTTGTCAATTACTTTAAATCTATCCATCTGATTTCCAATCCTGTCAAGAAACTGCCTCTCCTTATCTACTCTGTCCAGACCCCTCATCATTTTGAATAACTTTATTAAATCTCCTCTAGGCCTCCTTTTCTCCAAGGAAAATAGTCTTGATTTCTGCAAACTGTCTTCATAACTAAAATTCCTCACCTTCTAGAGCTGTCCTCATGAACCTTTTCTGCACGCTGCTCAAAACAAGAAGAGGATAATTGGAAGGGTCCTCTTGTGATGCTGTGGTAGTGTCCATACCCCGGACCGAGATACCTGGGTTCAAGTCCCACCTGCACCAGTGGTGTGTAATAACATCTCTAAACAGGTTCATTACAAAAATAAGTTAAATTGAAAGAAATTAAGATACATTGGAGAGTTCAGGTGTCCCTGCCTCTGAGCCAGGTGGCCTGGGTTTTTTTGGAAGCTGTCCAGAGTATGAGCCACAACTGAACAGCATAGGAACTTACTTAATAAGCTTTTTTGAACTGTAATAAAAAAGATGCATTGGAAGGGGCTTGTGGTGCAGTAGTTGCCTCCTGCCTCTGGAGCAGGAGGCCTGGGGTCAAGTCCCAACTACACCTAGCTGTGTAATAACGTCTCCAAACAGTTTGATTAGAAAATATGAAAAAGAGGATACATTGGGGTAAATTGGTAATTGATTCAGAAGAATGGGTGATTTAATGGTGAAGGATAAAGAAGAAGAAGTAACGCAGGTGATTTGCTGGCAGAAAAATTGTTCAGTGATGCATTTCTAATATATATTTCTTTTATATGTGTGTATAATATGTATTTCAAGAGGACACATTGGTTGAGGAGATGGTAGCGTAGCAGTAATGTCACTGAACTAGAAGTCCAGAACTTAGGATAATGCTGTGAGGACATCGATGCAAATCCAACTATAGCAGTTGTGAAATTTGAATTCACTTAATAAATCTGTAACTTTTCTTTTAAAAAAGAGGGTACATTAGTGGAATGGGTCTGACTAGTGTACTTTACAGAGAGGTAGCCTCGATTCAGAGTGTCCTCCTTCGCTGCTATCATTTAAATATACTGCATCTTAAACTGTAATTGAATCACAAATGGCTGCGGCATGGAAGAAGGCCACTCGACCCATCCTGTCTATGCCAGCCCTCTGCAAAAGAAAGTCAGTTAATCTCACCCCCTGTGCTCTTTCCACGTAGTCCTGCAATATTTTCTTTTCAAAAGCTTATCCAACTTTCATTTTTGCAAGTTCTAATTTTATCTGCCTCCACCACAGACTCCTGTACGTATACTTCTCAAGACTTTTTATCCATGTTTCTACTGTTCTGTCTACATCTCTAAATTTATTTGAGGACTTGGGGCAACTGTATGCTCAGTGTACGCCACTGTGTTGCCACCTGTGATTGGTCTGTCCTATCAGTAAGTCAGGACGCATCCAGTATGGTATGAGGGAATCAAAACAAATAAAAACTGGAGCCAATAGAAATCGCAGGGAAAACTGTCCGTTAGTTGGAGTCTATACTTGCGAAAAAGGAATATGGTTGTGTTGTTGTTGATCAATTATTTCGGTTCCAGAATATCTTTGTGGGTCTTCATCAACAGTATTCTAAGAGCATTGTTGTTCAGTTACTTCACCAATGATCTTCCCGCCATCATAAAGTCAGAAATGGGGATATGCGCTGATGATTGCACAATCAGCACTATTTGTGACTCCTCAAATAATGAAGCGACCTGGCTACGTCTGGAACATAGATATACTCATAGAATCATACCTTACAGACAATGTCAGCTGTTGTTTGACTATACTGTGGGACAGCTCTTCTATCAGGAAGGAGGATTTTACAGAATCAACAGGGTGGAGTTTACTATTTTTGTTTCTGGTGTCTAGGTGCCTGATTGTCCATCCAGTTTCATTCCTTCTCTTAAACTTTGTTTAATGCAAAGAGTAGCTTGTTAGCTACTTTGAGAGCACTTAAGAGTGGACCACATTATTGTGAGCTTGAAGTCACATGTAAGTCGTACCAAATATGGTTGGCAGCTCTCCTTCCCTAATGGGCACTGGTGAACCACATAGGTTTGTGTAATAAGAGACAATGGTTTGCGGTCAGCATTAAACTGGTTTTTACAAAGATTTTACCATTTGAAATTTTATCATTCACCATGGTGAGATTCAAACCTGTGTCCCCAGAATATTAGTGTGGGTCTTTGATTACTGATCCAGTGACATTACCAACAGCCCACCACCTCTCCCTCTCATTAAATAATGCCATTGAACATGCCTCAGCTATTAGATGCTGATAAATATATATAAAACAGCACCTTCTTTCCCCTATGCACTGAGTTTCCACCTGCACCAAATTCTTAAGTTAGCAACCATTTCACACAGCCCATAGGTCTTGTCATTTCCACTCTACAGTGAACTTTTGTAGAGTCTGGTAGCTCAACTGAAGTTGCAACTGCTAAGTTAGCTTCCTTCTGCAGTAACTAACACTATTTTCAGGTAAGAAATTTCAATTGATTGATAACTGCTACTGCTGGATGGATTTTGTTAAACTAAGCTTCTTAATTAGCTTGCAGTTTTACATTTCTCAGTTAGAGTCTGACTGCATTATTATAGCTTGAAAGAAATTTTACTGGGACCAAATTTGCAAGTCAACACTTATTCGTTGTCAAATGCATGTCTTGTTATTTCCACATCCGTGGAAAATATTCTGCTCCTTCCTTGATGTTGTTTGTCCTCTGTTGCTAGTAGAATTAACTGAGCCAGCTGCTAAATCTGCTAAAAAAGAACTGGATAACTCAACTGAAGATGTAACAATAGAAAGTTCAACCGATGACAGTAGAACGGCAGCAAAGTCATCAGGAGAGGATAAGGGCAACAAAGAGGCACACAGCTTTTGGCTGATGAAATCAGAACCAGAAAGCCGAATTGAAAATGGTGTTGATGTGAAGGTAATGTGTTATTCTCATAAGAGGGCGATTTACAATATTATACAGAAGGAATTGTGATGAGTGTTGAATTAGGTTTCTTAACCATTATTGTACAGGTTTTGGCTCCTTATCTAAAATAGGATAAAAATACATACACAAGAGGAGAAGGTTCACACATTCTTGAGATGAGAGTTGTCAGGAAAGAACAAGTGGAATAGGGTGTATTCTCTGGAATTTAGCAGAATGAGCGCTAATCTATAATTTCTTTTAGATTTCATCACAGGGTGGATCCTACAAGGCTGTTTGCGAAGCTGGGCAGTCTAGTAGTAAAGGGTCAACATCTCAGATAAGGGATCAGCCATTCACTAGCGTGGTCAGGAGACATTTCTTGAATCAGAGCTGTAAATATTTATAATTCTCCATCCCAGAGGGCTAATCAATATGGTGTTGTTAACATATTCAAGGCTGATATTCTTAAGATTTTTGGAAACCAAGACAGTTAAACGATATGAGGATTGTTCAGGAAAATGGAGGTGGTGTAGAAGAAGTAGTATGACCGGCACCTGAATTGCTGCTTAAGTTCTTCATACAATTTCATTGGTTGTGCTATCTTTCTATTTCAAAGCACTGATCACAACCTAATTTTTTTAAAAAAGCTTAACCGTTTCAATAGCGTTCATCCTAAATGTTTAATGGTGGGACAATTAAATTACTGCATTGAGAAAATTGAGGATGACCTTGCTCAGCAACCAAATTCCAGCCCATTTTAAAACATGAGTAAATGTGAACCTAGTTCCTTAATTTCCCCTGTACTTAGGCTTGTGCTTTTTGGTGCAGATGTGTGGAGGATTGTGTACAGAACGGATGGAAGGGGAAGGTGAAGGTGAAAAATTAATTGACAAATAGGGTCATTTCTTACTCTTGTGAATTTTTAGTATTTACCAAATAAACTTTTCTAGTTATTACTTTGAGGGGGAAAATAAGATAAACATTTCTACGTTATATTTAAATTCTTTCTTTGATTCTGTTCTTAGTTTGGAGTTGAGGATTTGAAGGCACAACAAAATCAGACTGCATGCTGGGATGGTGTTCGAAATTACCAGGTATAACAGTACCTCCCAATTGGGATCCTAGTTTTACAGGATCAAACTTCATTGGATTGAACCTTTTATTCATGTATAAATAAGGAATATTTATAAGGAATGAAAGTTAAAACATCTAGAATAATATCATACCATACTAGGACTCGCCATGAATAAGCACTATTCAGAAGGATAATAATTTCAAGGTCAAATTAGATATTTTCTTAGTATCTGATTTTAATTTTTATTTGGAATTCAGAATTGACCAATATTAAGATTTTAATGAATCTTTTAAGTGCACAAATTGCTAGCTGCCTATAATATGTGTTATTGGATTGAATGCTCAATGTCGTTTATTTTCCATTGACTGAAAGACAAATCTCAGTTTGAAAGTGTAGAAATGTAACCTTTCTGGAACCAATTTGCATTATTTTGTTGTACAAATTTGCTGTCACCCCCTTATTTCACCCTTCCACCCCAACCCATGCATTTTCCTTTTGAGGTTTTGTGAACGTCAGGCAGTAGAATTTGTTTGATTAAGAGTTTCAAATGACGATATGGCTTTATTTTTTGTTAGATTTATCTCATGTCTTCTGTATTTCATGTTACTCAGTTATTACACACCATTGGCCTTGAATTTCCTTTTCAGCCACCTCTGGGCAGTTAGACCTGACAATTATCCAATGTGAATATATGGTGAAGTCTCATGCCAATTCTGTTAGAATGTACCCGAGAGGATGTGGTTTTTGCTCCTATCTGTATGGCCTCATTTAATGATCTTTCTAAGCTATCACCCCTCCACACTGCTATAATTGATTGCTCGATCAATATTGAGGCTGCACCACCTACTTTTCTATTCTCCTCTTTACCTTGTCTGAATGCTGTATAATCAGGAATGTCCAGCTTTCAATCCTGCTCAACTTTCTGTACAGCAAGTATACTTAGGAGATTCTCTACTTGCCTGGTCTCCTTCTGACTGGCAGTCACCCATTCGCTCTCTTTCTATACTGGGTTGACCACATCCTGAAATATGCTATCCATGAATCTGTTGGCTTTGTGACTGGACTAGTGCTCAGCGGCCACTCAGGCTCCAAAACCCAGAGCTTGAATTGCTCCAGGTGGAGGCACCTCCTGCTCACATTGTCATCCAGACTGTCAGGAGTGTCTAGCATTTCCAGAATAGTGAAGGATGTGCAAATCATGGGCCTTGAGATCTTATCACATAGCTTAAGTAAATAGAATATGGACCCTTGCTTTTTTGCACCCCCCCCCCCTTACTCCTACTTAAGTGTAGACTAGAAAAATCTCTGGATTTTATAAATCGGTTATAATTTTGCGGTCACCATTCCTGAGACTAGCTTTCAATTCCATATTTTATTAATTGAATTTAAATTCCAACAGCCACAGCAATGGAATTTGAACCCTTGTCCCCAGAGCATTAGCCTGTATCCCTGAATACTAGCCCAGCAACATTACTGGACTACACTTCTCCCTTACAATGAAAGTTTTAAGTTTAATGAAGCTGTATTGTTTTGCTTTGATTTGTGGCTTCCATTGTGGCACGTATTGAGGGAAAGCCTCCACTACAAGCCACACTGACTTGTCTCTTTCCTTCATCACAGTGCACAATCTTCTTCTTCTGTTGGTTCCAGTGGTATACACTACACTTCTCACCGTGCTCAGGTGTGCTGGGCAGAACATCTACTTTGTGGAGAATTTTGCAGGCCACCCTTGACATGTCAATTACCAGCTCAATGGAATAATGTATCTGATTGACACAGTCTTCCGGTTTAGTCTGGTGAACATGCAAAAGTGCCATCAGCTTCGGCATTAACACATCTTCACACAAAGGGTAATAATAGAAGTATGCAACTCTTCCACACACAAAAATAACAGTAGAATCTTAAATGAATAAGACTTTTAAATCTGAGATTGGCTAGCAAAAAACAAGCAGTTTGTGGAACAAATGGATTGGAGTTTGAATTTCATTGAATGACAGAACAGGTCAATAAGATGAATGACTTCATTCTGTCTCTCTGACTTGCAGAGGGCTTTGATCATTTACATCTCTGTTTTTAAAGGCCTGCCATGAGGTCTGGTGCTTTCTGTTCCCACAGCAAATGTCACAGTCAGCTGTTGTTGAGCAAAGCTGACATACAATCAGCTTTTCAGTTGAAGTCCATACACCCTCTGGGCTCGGTCTTTATGAATAGGCTTCTGCCTCTGCTGCTGATGCTTCTGTTTTTATGTTTCCTGTCTCAGTTTTTCTTCCCCTTGTCCATTGTAACCACAGTGGAGTGGTACTAGTCAGATAATGGCTGACTGCATTAACAGATTGAAAGTGTTTTAATGATTCTTAAAGAGGCTGAATTGCATTTGCTGGACAATCTCATTATAATTTGAAGAGCACTTCTGAGCAAGAGCATTTGGAGGAATACAAATATAATGTCCCATAACTTCGGACAAGGGCCGTTATCAAGGGAGGAGAAGTGTTTTGAACAGAGCTAAGATTATTGTTAAAAAAAAATTAAGAACTTTTGTATATATTATAATCATGTCTATGAATCATTTGTGCTCAATTTTTCATTCTGTTAGGCTGGATTGCACCCTCTGATAAGGTGTACATCTGGGTGCACATCTGCAGGGAAGACCAGAGTGTTTCCTGAGACATGTAATTACTAACATATCTGTACTTACCGCTTGATATGAAATTCAGAAGAAGGTTTAATGATTTTGGGCAGTCTAGCTTGTATTTTCATCCCTTTTACTCATTTGAGAGACTTTTGAAAAACAATTTTGGTGTTAATAGTTTGGAAGCAGAATAAAGTGTTCCTCACAAAAAAATGAACAACTGGTTGAGTAAGAAGGTTGATTGCTTTTTATATACTGCATCCATGTGAGTATATCAACTGTATATCCAAGGCTAAAAGAAAATCTCTAAATATAGATACAAGGTGTAAAGTGAGATCATAGATTATTTTGTGAATTGTGTTAACAGGCTCGAAATTTCATGAGAGATATGAAGTTGGGACAGCTGGCCTTTTTCTACCATAGCAATTGTAAAGAGCCTGGAATTGCTGCACTCATCAAGGTTTGCATTTTTAATAGCTAATAACCTGTTAGTATGAGTTTTGAGATAGCAGGAACTGCAGATGCTGGAGATTCTGAGATAACAAGGTGCAGAGCTGGATGAACACAGCAGGCCAAGCAGCATCAGAGGAGC